CTGAAAATATGAAAGCGTTTATTGAATTAAGATGCAAGTTTTATCAACAACATGCTGATAAGTTTGATTATGCTCACTTAAGAGATGATTTGTCACAAAAATATAATGCATGTAACGATGCATTAACTTTATTATCAGAAGATGTTTTATATGATAGATTAAACCCAAATCAGTTTTCAGCTCGAGTTGAAGAAATTCAAAAATCCATTAAAGATTTTTGTATAACATTTTATACAAATTGGATACCTGAACTTGGAAAATTAACTATATATAATGATATACTTGACAATATGAATCAAATTTTAGACAATCTCAGAAATAATTTGTTAGATTTAGACAAAGCAAATGAATTATTGATTGGGTCTGTCAAAAATAAAATAGAAAATGATTATTCACAAATTGTTGAAAATTTCAAAAATATGCAGGATTGTGGATATAAGGAAGAGTTTGAAAAGCTAAGACAATTGTTAACTAATTATAGTAATATGACAAATTTAATCACGAAATCATTAGAATATCCTAGAATGTTATATGATTTGAATCTTGAATCTGATAAATTAATTAATCGATTTATAAATGATTGGAATGGAATTAAAGAAAAAATTGGCGCCGATTATGACGATGATGATGAGATTTCTAAAGTTGACAAGTTTATTGATAACAAACTAAAAAATAATCAAAATAAATTTGCTGCATTTGGTGCGCTATCAGTTAACTGGAATAAGTTTACTGAAAGATTGGAAAGTATTAAACATAAGATTCGTGAAAAATTTTCAATTTCACAAAATAATTGGAACTTCAAAACTGAAAAGTATAAAGAAAATAGCAACTGTTCAAAATCTCTTGAAGAAGCTAAGCAGCTATATATCACTATTGAAAATTGTTTTACATTAGACTTTTTTGAGGGAGCCTTGAAATTACAATCTCTTGAAGTTAATTTAGACAAAATTTTAGCCTATATGGAAGAATTATATAATGTAGAAATTAAACAAGAAGAAGTATAGTTTTAATACCAAAGCTACTTTTAGTTTGATAAGATATAAAGA